AAAAATCAAATATATACTCAGATCTGTCTCATCATAATTTTGTGTGTACGATAAATTCCACCTCATCCCGAAGAATATATGAGTTAAGGAATTTTGTCAAGATCTCAATACAGTTAGGTTGCTTAAATTTAGTTATTTTGTCTTATTTTATTTTACAGTAATTATTATTATCTAGATTATGGCCAATAAAGTCCTATAATGCTAAAACTTCTCCTCTCTCCTCACCTCTCTTATAAAGATTTGTAATTATCTGACCAAGAAAATCAGAACGTACGTAATTCTTGTAAGAAAGTCAACTTAAATCTATATATAATGTATAGTAGCACCAACAAACTGAGATCAACTGCATGGATATCATATATAATTTAAATAACCAATTAATTAACTATGTTCGCAACAATTAATTAATGGTGCATGTTTGATAGTGCTCAGCTTAATTAATTAGTGAATTATTATCCTCTTCAGCTTCTATTTTTTTTTTTTTTTAGTAGAAAATTGTCCTGTATATATTGCTGTCTTCGGCAGCCAGCTGGATATATAGGATTTCATAATGTAGGGTTTGTAATCCAAATTACGTCAATCATTGAATTAGGCCCCACTATTAAAAAAAGAAAAAAAAAAGACTTTTAGTCACAACAATTTCTTGTGATATTTTTCAATCAGAACATGTTTGTGCGACTAAATGTCATTTTTAATTAGTCACAATCTTGTGACTAATATGCATTTAGTCATAATTTTTAGTGTGACAAAAACTTTTAACCACAGGGTTTTGAGTCTCGAAAAAATTTTATCACACCGAAATGTTTCCGTAACTAAAAAAGTCTTTTATAAAAAGTGTTAGACAGCACAAATTTATGACTAAATGCATATTAGTCACAAGATTTTGACTGAAAGTGCATTTAAAATCCCACAGAAATGTTATGACTAAAGATATTGTTACAAGAAGATTAATGATTTAAAGTTTTATTTTAGTGCTCTTCTCTGTCCCACATATTTGAGATAAATTATATTTCTTCCATTTGATTTTACCCAACAATAATAGATGGCAGATATGCACTTTTTTTTTCTTTTTTTAATATTTCAAAGTTTTGGAAATGATTTCAAAAGCTATATGTACTTATATACACGTATTTCTATTCTTTATCAACAAAGGATTTGTTATATGGACGACGAATTATTAGATATGAACTTTCAATTTGGTTCCAAGGTTTTAAAGTGTTAGGAAACTGTATTCCTAAATTAATTGTTTGTATTCATAACGGAAAACATCATTTAATCTCGGTTTATTAGGTGATTGATTTATGGAAAAGTTAAACTGTATTCCTAATTATTTGTTTGTATTCATAATGGAAAACATCATTTAATCTCCGTTTATTTAGGTGATTGATTTATGAGGTCTAGGGGTGTTCAAAAAATCTGTCAAACTTTCAAGACCACTCAATCTAAATTATATCAACTAAATCGTTAATCACTTTTGAGTTATTAGGTAGTTTAGGTGGTTTTTTAGCCTAAATTTGACAGATTATTTGGTTAGCGATTTAGGCCCTAACCGCCCAATAATCTGCTCAAACATACCTCTATATAATTTTTTATTTTAAAAATATTTTCTGTATATGTTAATTTTTATTTGTAATAATGGAGGCTCTATGTTTATAAATTGCACCCTACCACATTTTTTTATTAAAACTTTAAGTGGCGAACTTTTAAACAGTTATATTGTGTAAATTTAAATCTTATCTTTATTTTTATGAATTAACATGTATTATCGTTTTTGTGAAACATTGAAAATTTTTTTAGTCTTAAGCTTAAACTGTCCATACCGAACTACCCAAAAGAAAATATTACTTTAATTTGGTCAGTGGTTTCTACAAAAAAAAAAAAAAAAAAAAAAAAAAAAAAGCGAGAGTCTGAATCCTTATCTGGTCCTATCCTTCTCCTATTTTTAGGAATCTCTTCATGTTGATAATCATTGGACGTAGTTTACTCCACATCCTCTCTCTTCGAATCCATGTTCCTCTCCTCATCTTTTGTGCACTTGGTAACTTGGAAATGAGCTTGACGGTGGTTATGTGAGCGGTTATGCCATGAAAGGATGATTGAATTGGTTTAGCTTTTTGTTAGCATGTTTTGAGTCGAAAAGACATCGCCTTAGCTCTCATATTGAGAAGACACATGGTCTTACTCGCATGTTGAGGAGGGCCATGGCCTTACTAGGATGTGCGGAGAAACATGACCTTACTCGCATGTTGAGAAAGAACATGACCTTAATAGTCCGTAAGGATTCCGCCTTGTTTAATCTAGAACTCATCCTTCCCTTAACAATTCTTAAATAAAATCCCCAATTACCCCAGCATGTACTTACCTTTAGAAGGTATTGTGACCTTTGAGGATGTTTGGATTACTGGTAGTAATTAATGTCTCATAAATATCTTAAAAATGATAGACTTGATCTCTTAACTTCTAGGTTGAGCATGTAGAGGGTTGACCTCGACTTGTAAAGATTGAGTCATAACATACTTCTTATTAACAAATTATGCAAAATGAAGTGAAAAATCATCTTAAAGAGTTTACTGATCAGCAGGTCATTTCTTTCGGAACTTTAGAGCACTTGCGTAAAAATTGATGTTCTTCACTACCCAGCTAGCAGCTACCGATATAATAATTAAGATTTTTTTCTTGACATGGACTTAATTCTATAGCTAGCATATTTCAAAATTCACTTGTAATGGAAGATTTTAAATTCAAGAAAGATGTAAAAAAATAAAGATACACGCTTTGACTTTTGTTATACTTAATTACAGTTGCATGGAAGATACCAAGATTAAAGAAGATTATTTTAAAGTTGAGGCAATCATTAAAAAAAAATTAAAAAAAAACATATGTATACGAGAAAGGAGATCAGGTGAAATGTTCATCGAGTTGACAAATTCCAGATCTAATCCCAAGGTTTCTCTTGTTAAGGGATTTCGTACGGGACTCATATTCTATAGATGAGGGAAATGGATATGATGTCAGTTTACTATTTTTCATGTGCCTAGTTGCAAGATTTTCCAATCTTAAGAAAATCAACGCAAGTGATTTTCAAAAAAAAAATAAAATAAAAAAATAAAAAAAAGCATATGCTTTAACATTCTCCTTCATCGTAACCAAAATATATAATTAACAAAATTTTCATCGTTTTTATCGTCCCATATTTGTTAAGTTAAAAGAAGAGCCAAACTGACCTTTCTAAATATATATATATATATCAGCTCGTACTAAAACGGAAAAAAAAAAATTGTTGGTAAATATCAGAGGAAACAAATCTGACAATCCACGTTGAGTATGTGGTTTAAAGCTCATATCAAACAAAGCATTTGAAAACGCAAGTGTATCCAGATGTACAATATACGCAAATGTACAATTATATACAATATATGCCAACTTTGTTGGATTTTTTTAGTTTCCCTGATAATCAATCTTCTTCTTCTTGTTCTTGTTCTTCTTTTTTTTTTTTTTTTTTGACAGAATGGCGTAAATAGAATATTATCTAGGAGTAATAAAAATTTGTAGCAGAAATTTAGAGGAAAAGAAATTAATAGTATATTTTACACCAAACCTTTGAAAGTCCCAAATTAAATACCCCCTACCCCCTCTCTCCTCTCTCTTCCACTTCTCTCTCTCCCCTCAGGACTATTGCAGCCATCGGAGAATTATGGCCGAACAAAGAGAACCGCCATCACAAACCGTTTCACTTCCCTGGAGCTTTATTGTTCTCTTCGGCCAATGATTTTCTAGCTACTCTTCCAGTCGCGAGGCAGGCCTCATGATTTTCTGGCCCAGCCTAGCGACGTCCCGGTGGCGCGAGGGGGGAGAAAAAAATTTTCTTTTAGGGATTTAGGGTATTCAAATATAGGGGATTCAAGGGTCTGTTCGGTTCGCTAATTCGAGTTTTTAATTCGAATTGAGATGTGATGTTGTGTGAGAGCTTTTTACTGTAGTAAAAAAGTTAGATGTGACTGTTTCTGAGAGCTTTTTACTGTAGCAATACTCGAATTCTAAACTCGAATGAGCGAAATGAACGGGGCCTTAGAGTCTCAAAATTGTTATTTTTGTGTAACTAAAAATAAGGGTAAAATGAGAAAAACAAATAACATTTTTAAGAATTTGCTATTTACTAAATAACTGCAATAATTATGCTATTTACTATCTTAAGTTAATGAAATCTGCTATATATATATATATACACACACACTATAAATTCAGTGTAATATGTCAATATATGTACATAGAGAGAGATATATATCTATAATTTGTCAATTGTGAACACGTAGGTTAATGCATGAAGACGAGGGTTTAAAGAGGCTGCGGTGTACTTATTTTAATTACTAGCTAGAAGAGCGGCCAGAGCGGCGTTATTAAACAAAGCACGCAGCTGTTAAAGTAGGGTTAACCAAACCTAAATTACTCCCAAACCCTATAATTAATAATTTATTTCTTTAATACACAACCAAAGTATTGACAATATATATCATTCATACAGTTGAGCGGTGTGCTTTTGTGTGCAGTCATCTTTTATATTGCAAGCAACTTAGACTAAGCCCGCCCTATAACATCTAATTACGTTGATTGGATTGATATTAAATCCCTTTTTATATAGAGATAGAAAGGGCAAAATGGTCCATAAAAGATGAAGTCCCTTGAGAAGGGCAGCCTTGACCTTTTACCATGAGAGAGGGCATATCTCATGGTGGAATAACATATTAAACCCATATATTATGCCCAAAGTCATTGGTGATCATTATTAAATTTGCATTTCGGATTTAAATAAATGTAGTTATAAATTTAGCTAAAAAAATTGTAGTTCTTAATTAAGGTGCACCAGTGAATAAAGTCAAATCTTAGATGCGTCCTTGTGTATCTAATAATAATACGTCTTTGAGACGGACGAATTGACTTTGGTGCCTCAAAAGTAGCATTTCCTACATAGCTTTAGAGAGAGAGAGAGAGAGAATCTGCAACCTTTTGTCCTCTTTCAATGGGGAGATTAGAAAAGAAGAAAGAGATGATGGAAATCGATCTATCACTAAAAATTGATCATGCTAAAGAAGAAGAAGATGATGATCATGATCATGAGGAAGATGATAATGAAGTAGAGGAGAAAGAAGACAAAGACGAAGTAGAAAAGCAAAAAGATGAAGAGTCAAAAGAAGAACAAGAACGAATAGTGCATGGGCAGAACAACAATGAACAAGCAGAAGCCACAATCGGTGAAGTAGAGGATGAGGCATCTGTAGTTGAATCCTTGCAGGAAAATATGAAGTCAGATGAGGTAACTTTACAATACACTCTATGTGTGTGTGTGTGTGTATATATATATATATATATATATGATGTTCCGTATGTTAATCTTTGTCATGATAGCTATCTCTCTTTTCTCGCCTAACTTCAATCATGCACATCTGTTATAGAATTCAGTGACTTCTTGTATGAGCATGTACACAAATAGATATAATATATATATATATATATATATATATTAGTATTTTTATGTGTCCCGCGCGGTAATATTACATATAGAATATATATTCACGTGTATGTGTGTGTGACTGATCATAGTTAGAAAAGTTGTGTATCATCATATGTATATAATGATGTTTTTGATGACTGATGCAATTATGTCGTTTTAATAGTTAGCTGTGCTACAAATGGAGATGAACCGTATGAAAGAAGAAAACAAGGTCTTGAGGAAAGTGGTAGAGCAAACAATGAAAGATCACTATGATCTCCAAATTAAATTCGCCGCTGTCCAGCAAAATAACCAAAAAAAGGTGAACCCCAATTTTACTTGAATCAATATTTATCTCTTATTTTATATTGCTGGATTATCTCTAATTATTCTATATTGAATTATACAGAAAGAGATCTTTATATGTGTCAACCTGGTTTTATTTAATCTTCTCGTAAATTTCATCTAGGACACCCTTGCCTTCCTTTCTCTCCATGATATTCAACAACCAAACGCAGTGCTTCCTTATAAGATGTTAGATGGCAATACAAACAACCCTAAATCTCCATTGCCATCACACGAGAGTATCATCGGCGAGAGCGAATTAGGGCTGTCGTTGAGGCTCCAAACAGGCACAGGAAAACAGGAAAGAGAAGACGGCCATAGTCATAAAGAAATATTATATAAAAAAGAAGACTTGACAAGTTGCACATCGGCGCAAAACAAGCTACAAAGAACTGAATCATTGTCAGCTGGAATAACATGCCACGTCACTGGTAGTAGTACTCCGCCTAACAGAAAGGCTAGGGTTTCAGTGAGAGCAAGATGTGAAGCTGCCACAGTAAGTCTCTAGCTCTAATTCGATCATTACAATGGCTAATTTAGTTATTTTTGTTGATATATATATATATATAGTTGTAAAAATATAAGATCTTATAAGGGTTGAGTTATATTTTTATTATGTATAGCTGAATGATGGTTGCCAATGGAGAAAATATGGTCAGAAAATAGCCAAAGGAAACCCTTGCCCACGAGCCTACTATCGTTGCACTGTTGCTCCAGGATGCCCAGTTCGGAAACAGGTACATATTATATATGTGCATCCATAAAATTCTTAATATGTATATATCTACGAGTGTACATATATGCATATATACATTAAAATTTGTAATATGGAACACTTTTTTTTGTCTAATTTTTAGCTATATAATTAATCATACATGAATAATTGAAAATGAGGCAAAAAAAAAAAAAACTATATTATACATATTTTCATCTACTTAATTAAGCATACAAGATAGTAGATCCCTTTTCATTTCGGTTTGTTTCGTTTACTTTTTTCTATAGGGCGTTTTTTTTTTTTCTTGTTTGGTTAGCTCTAATTGTCATTGGATTCTCAATTTCTTTGTTTTTATTTTTTTTCCCTTTTATTATTTGTTTTCTTGTTTGGTTGATATAGAATAAGGAGAGTTACTTAGTGGGTGCCAATCTAATTGAGTGTGTTACATTTTTCTGATATTGGTTACTTCCTCTTAATTCATGGATATATATGTATATATTATATATTTATACAAAAAAGTAGGACCATATGTAGATGTAAGACCATATATAGCTCTCGCCTAATCGGTACATGTATGTGTCCATAATTCTAGTAAATTAGCTGCTATAAAGTCTCCAGATCCTTGGATACGAAGCCTAGCTTTGTGATAGCTTTATTTCTCTTCCCTTAGAACCACTATATATCAACCTCAATTAACAATAACTTGTGCTTATGTTAATGAGATCTTCTCTCTTTGGTTTAGGTGCAAAGGTGTTTAGAGGACATGTCCATACTAATAACAACGTACGAAGGCAACCACAACCATCCACTCCCTGTAGGTGCAACAGCCATGGCTTCGACAGCCTCCGCCGCAGCGGCTTCCTTCATGCTCATAGATTCAAGCAGCGGTTACTCCGAGCATGGTGGTACCTCTAGTTTCCACCAAACAAACCTTCCCTACAGCAATAACCCAGCTCAAATGTTCCTAAACCCTATGTCGTCACAATACTCCTCAAACATCAGGACAATAAACCCCAATGACCCTTCCAAAGGGATAGTCCTTGACCTCACAAACACCCTGCAATTTTCGCTGCCCACGCCCTCACTTCTCCAATCTTCTCATCATCAGCCGCCAAATTTCACTTGGATTAATCCGAGCAAACTCCCAAATGGCCTTGTGCAAAATGGAACTAGTCATGGCATCGCCGCAGGCGGGCTTCTTGCGAGCGCTCGAGGATCGGATGAGAGGGTTTGGAGATCAGTCACCGGTGAGGAAAAGAAGTCGATGGCTGAAAACGTTACAGCCATAGCTTCTGATCCTAAATTTAGGGTTGATGTTGCGGCTGCTATTGCGTCTCTCATTAATAAAGAGAGCCAGAAGGCGACGAAGAACCCCATTGGAAGTACTTTAGATCATGCTAAGATGTAGAGGAAAGTGGTAAGGCTTCTATTAGCAACAATTGGGTACTTCAATCAGTCCCTGGAAACGGTAAGACCATTCGTCAAACACCTTGAAATTAGCAATCTATAGCAGATATATATCCAAACAAAAATTTGTAATTCAAAGCCGAATTGAAGGGTTATATAGTTATGGGCTATATATGTGTACCACTTATCCAGTGTAGAGTTGGAACATTTAGTTATAGGGAAAATGAGACAAATACCCCTTAGATGGGTCTTAGATTTTCACATCTTACTCTTGATTAGTACTCTTTAATCAAATTAATATATTAGTTAAAAATGTATTAATCAAGAGTAAAAGGTAAAAATCTTAGAACACAATGCATTCCATGCATGTGTGAGTTCACTAATTTTCTCTTAGTTTTATATGATAGTGAAATTTAATAACATGATGATGATACTTGTTTTCTAAGTTGATGTAAATTTTCTCTTCTTTCTTTTGCTTAAAGTTTTGAGGCAATATTTATAATTAGAAATATTTCTGTTATGACAAAATTAAAGTTCCCTGAACGCAAGGGAAAAACCTATTAAAGAGTCACATCATTATAACAGTACAATTTATAGTTCTTACACTTTTTCTAATTAGTAAAAATAAATGTGGGGATGCGAATTTAGGTCTTCAACGTTACAGATCATATTTATTTAATTGTTATCCGACTAAATGTATATATGACTTTTTTCTAAAAGTATGCCAAATGTTTGCGGTTTTAATATTCAAAACAAATACGAAGAACAATACTAGAAAAGAAATGAATTAGCTGAAAAATTAGAGTAATCTTGACAAATACTCCTTAAAAATGCATAAGTTAAGATTTTTACCTTTTATTATTGATTCATAACCTTTTTAGTTAAATAATTACACTAAAAAAAGGGTATTTATCAAGAATAAGAGATAAAAATTTAGACTCATGCACTCTTAAAAATAAATTCTCATTTTTTTCTAAAAAAAATTATTGTCAGACCATTATCTTAGAGGGCTTAATTCATCATGAGCTTGGAATGGACCAAAAGTTAAGAGAAGAAGAAATGGAATTATAAGGCTAAGGGATACTTACACCGGGCCTTCAGAAAAAAAAAAAAAAAAAAAAAAAAAACAGCACCATACTAGAGAATACAACGGCAAAAATTCTCTCACAAAAGTGTTCTCTTTAGTATAATACTTGTGATAAAATAACAAACAGCAGCACGACAATGAACATGAAAAAGGAAAAAGGACGAATTTATAAGGTTGCAAAAGATAAAGATATGAATCTATAACCAGGAAGCAAAAAGGGAAAGACAAGAGAAAAGGAAATCAAACAGGAATAAGTATAAAAAATGTCCCCGATATTTTATATTACCTTATATTTGCAAGAATGTTATGTTCATCCCTTATGTTGTCTTTTTTTTTTTTTTTTTTTTTTAAGTGGACTTTATTAATTAACCAACTCAGAAATAACAACTGAAGATAAAGAAGCTGGAACAGCCACAACATGAGATGCAAAATGAAAACCTGTGTGCAAACAGACACTAATTAAGGTGTGTGGGCTATCCTTTTTCCATAATGAGAAATATGATATAAAAAAAATCACCCCCAAATGAGTCTAGCATAGCAACAATAACTAGGATATTTGGCGATCTTCGTGAGGAGAAGATTAGGATATAATGTTGCTCAGAAGGACGTTAAATATATAGCTTGAACTATATTGTTGATCAACCATTCCTATTGACAGCCAACCCGCCCCGAAGCAATGCAAGTTAAATTAATTGGTTAATACAACTAAGAAATGGGCGTTAGCACTCGATTTTGTTGGTAACAAACATCCAACTAAATTCAATTCAATTATTTACTTATTCAATTTCAGTGAGTGAATTTTAAAGTTCAACCAGAACCCATTAAACCCTATTTTTAAAATAAAGCATCAAGTGGATGAATAAAAATCGTGAGAAAGTCTTTAAAAATACTCACCATCCATGCCCCCTTTGTAACGCCCCAACTCGCGGGAGCATCATAATTATCGTTTCATAACATACATTTAAAAAAATAATACGTCATTAAGTAAATAACGGAAAATGCGCAATAAATTTTTTTTTTTTTAAAGAAACATCAACTAAAAAACAAAATCATCCTTTGAAAATAGTTTATCAGCTAAAAAACCCTTGAATGTCTTATCTTTGGTGGATTTCTAAAACGGTGAGTTCAAAACCTAAGGGTGATCGATTCTGTATCCGTTAGCCAACCTATCCCTTAATTCTTTCTTTCTTTTAAAGTTTTCAGCCTTTGTTCTCTAAAACAAGCGAAACACTAACAACCCTTCTAAACACTTTTCTATTCCTATATTCTTACTATCAGTTTCTGAAGACTCTTGAGAAAAACGGTATCAATTTTGGTAGTAAAGCATCAGACTCTAAACAACTCCTAGTGTTTTGATCTTGCAAATCATTTTTCTTCATTATCGCAAGACGTTACGTGTCATTCCAAGAGACTTTCAAGAACAAGATCGTGATATTGAGTTGGAAAAAATGAGAACCATAAAGCAGCTGCAGCGGCGCCTTAAACAGTATGAAGACCGAGTACCACCAAGACGTGAAGAACGACATGCTAGTGTCGGTGATGAAGATTACAATCTATTTCATCTTGGAATATTTTTATGCAGACTTCCATAATCATAATAATTCACTCTGTAATTAATTAAAGCATTTTATAGACAATTGTATTAACATAAATTAACACATGTATGTATGTTAAATATTGATCCATAATGGGATGAAAACTTATTTTATTGACTCGTTTGAGGCATATAAACTCACTTTCTCTGAATATTTGGTCAGCCCATTAAGCCAAATTTCCTCTCTATCAATAATTTTAGTTGAGGCCCAACAAGGCTCAATTGCCTAAGATTGCAGCACAAAATCAGAGGGGAAAACTTTTTCCCCTGCCGTGTATGTGTGCCCGTGGGAGTGGAGAGAAAGGTAGGGAAGAGAAAGAGTTTAAGAACTCTTCAAGCCCCTTTGATTTTTCAGGTCATTCAAGCACCAATTTCGGCTGCCCATCGACGTTTTCCGGCAACCATGAACGGCTTGTCTCCGCCACCCATAGGAATATGAGATATGCCTAAATCCCAAATAAGAATTTTGTGACATTTTTCGGATTTTAGGCTAGATTAGTTATTATGATCTTGTTTAGATCATGTTTAGATCATTTTAAATCTAGCAATTGGTATCAGAGCCAACTTATTTGGGTTTAGAGCTATGTTTTTTCAGATTTTTCCATTTTCAATGGAAGAAAAATCCAAAATTTAAATCCGTATTTTAGCTCAAGAAAACGTTGTTATGAGGTTACCCACTTCGAGTATATCTTATGGGTGATTATTTTCTTGAGTTTCAAGAGTCGATTTGGCCAGATTCATTATGTTGCGAAGTTTGAAAATGGACGGTTTTGGGTTTTACTTTTCGCCCATGATTTTGAGGGTTTTAGGTCATTTTGATGTTATGGATCAAAAGAGGGTGAAATTTGGAGAAAAACCCCCTTTTGAATCATCAAAAATGGAGTTCCGGAGGTCAAGATATGGCCGTGTCCGATTGCGGGCGCGAACCGGGTCATTTTCACCTGACTGGAGGTTGATGACGACATAAATGACGTGTCGTTTAATTTTGTTCCAAAAATGACGTGTCGTTTTGAGTTTTAGAGTTTGCAGTCATTTTTCTAAATGACTTGTCATTTTTTATTTATGCCCCAAAACTACATGTCGTTTGCAAGGCAAACTTCTGCTCTACTGTTAGTGAAACGACATGTCGTTTCAATAAGCCCAAATCGACATGTCATTTTAGGGGACCAAAAAAAATGCGCTATAAAGAGGCTCACACCAGCACACCGAGCCATACATTAGCACGCGTGTTAGCCACACGTTAGCACCTAGGTGGCGCGTAGGACCCATTTTTAGGCCAAATTCTGCCCTATTTTGTGATTTTAACTCCGTTTTGACCGCAGTTTTCACTGTTGCGCTCCATTTTTCATTTTCTACCCATTTAAATGATTTATTTTACGTTTGGGCCACCATAAAATCATGGTTTTAATAGTTTTATATTATTGATTATATATTTTTATGGGTGGCTAATTCTTACAATTTCCAAACAAATTTTTCTTGGGCATTTTGCATATAATTTGTTTGATGATTAGTGCCATAAAATTTTTATTATGTTGTTATTATTATATGGCATATTTAATTGTGAGAATTCGACAATAGTGAATGTTTATGTACTTGTTTGTCGTGAGTCTAAACATGTCAAATTTTTTGCGTATGTTACGGAGCTCTCCTACAAAATTTAACATTTCCTTTTGAAAAAAGGCATTGGGATACACACACTCTTTACATGGATGCACATGAGCTACCAGAAAATATTTTTTATTTAAATATTTGTTTATTGTAATAATTTTCATATATTTTCTGGGTAGTTTTAATTCTCACTATTTTTAGACCTAAAATTTTGGGGCATGTTTGTTACTCCATATTATATGGTCATATTTTATTTATTCTCCCACATAATTTGATATTTTAGTAAATAAAATTTAGACATATAATATGGATGATTGTTCAAATTTTGAAATGCTCATTTTGTGTTTAATGTTTTAATGCCTAATTATTTGTATAGGCATACATGGTCTCTTTTGTGTTAAAGTGAGAATGAAAATTTTAATTAGAAGCTCATGTGCTATTATAAAGCTTAAGCTATAAGTTTATCCATAATTTATATATTGTTGCTATCATTATTATTTGATATCTTGTTTTATGTAACTATCATATTTTTTTATTATGCTATTCAAGTGGGAGAAAATTAGAAACATTTTTCATTGATTAGCATAATCACTAACTCACATACTATTATCAAATAATAAATTGTGGGATTATATGGATAAACTTAATTTGTTAATTATGTTCTGAAAGTCCATACGTAATAGAATTATCCTATCGATAGTTTCATTGCTTGGTAGGACGCTTGAATCTTGTTGAAGCTTAAGCTTATTGTCTTTATCCATGTTTTTTGTTTACATATTATTATTTGACATTTTGTGTTATATGAGTATCATGTTTTTGATTATGCAGTCCAAGTGGGAAAATATCATGAATGATTATATATGGACTTACATAATCACTAAACTCATATTATGGTCAAATAATATATTGGAGTGTTATGTATTTACCATATTA